TGATGCATGATATGTGATGAAAATGATAATTTATTTTAATAGTTTTTCTAGGAACTTCAATAATTTTGCACACATCAATGGTAAAGGAATTTGGAACAACAAAAACTCATTTCATTAATCAAAAGTGGTAAATTACAACTTACAACTTTGGAACAACAAAAATAATAAATTACAACTTTGGGATAACAACCCAATAATAAAACAGTAAACTACAACTTTGGAACATGAAGCCCATAATAAAAGCAGTAGATTACAACTTCGGAACATGAAGCCCTTTTACAAAGTTTTACAAAATGACATCAGTAAAATAAAACTAAAAAACTAAAGATCATCAGAATCATCAGATAAAGGACCAAATGTCAACTGTAACCGGAGCTTCCTGATCTTCTCTTCATAAAAGTCTTCCATCTCTTTCTTCTCAACTACCAGTCGATCAATGATTTCATTTTGTGGATTAGGAACAAGAGCAACGCTTACCGAAACTTCCTTCTTTCTCTTCCTTTCACTAGCATATTTCTTCAGTAAAGCATCCTTTTGACGAAGCTTCTCATCATGATCAATGAACCAGCCGTCTTGAATAAATAGCAAATCCTCCTTTTCCTTTAGTTGTCGAACCAGGACCCGATTCTCATATTCAGACATATTATACTTTTCTTTCCAAGCGTCTCTCTCGGACTTCATTCTAGCCAAATTTCCTTGGTATTCTCCCATATTCTCGATAGGGATATCAACAGATGATGATGCAACAGTAGGGAATAAAGGTTTCTCAGGTTTATAGGGCATCTTGAGAGCACAAGCCCTAGCACGGACCCAATGTAGGTAAGGCTCCAAAGAAACGACACCCCTATGTCCTAACATATCTCTCCCTTTCCTATGGATGTGGCGCCAAGCTCCTTCGATCTCCCTCTTAGCTGCCTGGTGATCTTGTCCTTCTTGTAAAAAGAAACCACTCACATGGATGTTGTTTAGCTTGTCCCTCATCGGGTATCCAAACTGACGGCGCGCGAGAACAGGGTTATAGTTAATTCCACCTTTCGTACCAAGAAGAGGCACGTTAGGAAAAGCACCACAGCTATCGATGATCTTCACGTCATAGTAAGCTCGATTATACCAATCAATGTCGAAATGAGTGAGAGCCATAAGTTTTGGCGCCCATCGCGGCTCCTTCTCGAGATCCCAGAAAACATCAGACCTAGGTAGATGAGAAACATACCACTGATACAGCAACGGTGCACAACAAATAATCATCCCTCCTTGATAAGAGTTTCGAAGATGGATGGAGTAGTAGGTATCTCCTAGCAGCGTAGGGACCGGATTTCCAATCAAGAAAATTCTGATGGCGTTGATATCCACAAACTTATCAATGTTAGGGAACACGAATAGACCATAAGCGAGTAAAGCAAAGACGTCTTCAAAGGCAATAGTATCTTTTATCTCAGCGAAATGACGAGCTTTCCTCAACAGAAACTACGCAGACAAGCCTCGGATTCCCCCTTTTGTAGTCATGTTCTCCTCTATCTCTGACTTCTTCAAGTGGATGATGGTCGCTATCTCGTGAGATTTGGGTTCCTCTTCTAAGCCAGAAAAAGGAACACAGTCGGTGATCGGCAAACCGAGTATGTAGGAGTACTCTTCTAAGGTGGGCATTAATTGGTAATCCGGAAAGGTGAAACATCGATACAAAGGATCATAGAATTGGACCAACGTATTAAGGATGCCTTCCTTCATCTTGCGCTTCATGAGAGGTATAATGGACCCATACTTTTTCTGAAAATCCGTCGGGTTCTTGATTTTAGGAATTAAACTCTTCAGTTCTTCAATCTCGGGCTCCTTAAAACTAAAACTTCGAGTGTTTCTCCTTCCAAATTCCATAATAATAGTACCTGAGATGTCTGCAAAAATCATTCTTAAGTTCCTTGAAAAACAAGTTTTTTTTACAAAAAATGTTGATGAATGCATGGATGAATGATAATGCAACAATTACACACAAGTTCACAAATATGGGGTTCAAAGGTTCAACGCTTCGAGCCTGGAGTCAAGGGTAAAGCCCACCCCATGGTATGTACTAACGGTTTAATCACACCTGTAAGACAAGGTTCTAAGAGTTCCCAGAGTCTACATTCCTCCTTCGGATATTACCAACGTCTTGATTACTCAATAATTAGCAATATTCTCAAGAGAAACTCATCCGAGCGTAGCATCGCGTAACAACTACTTCTGAATTACTCCGTTATAGTCTCCGCACTACACCTAAAAGGCCAAGATGGGTCAGGGTTCTACGGTTCTCAATTTCTCTGGCTCCCAGGTCGAAAATAATAATGTCTTCCCGATTACTCGGTAAACAAATATTACGTTCAAAAGGGTCTTCCATTGAGTGGGGGATCTCATGCCTCCTTCTTCGGGATTACTCCCTCAAAGTTAACATGACTATACCGCCCGTCCTATTCTTAAGTGTAACTTAATCCGGGTATAAGATTCGTCCTTTGCAAAAAACCCAAACAACCCAAATTTAAACACATAATCAAACAAATCAAATAATAATAAAACAGATAAAACAAACTAGACTTAACCCAATTAGGGATGGACCAGCAAGAGGTCAATCTTTCCCCAGCAGAGTCGCCATTTCTGTAGCGATAAAAAATGTAGCGGGGTAAATCGGAGATCGAACTATTAATTAATTCGTCTCACAAAAGCAAGAGTCGCCACCGCGCTTTATTATTTCCAAGGGAAAAGGGGAAAGAGCGAAATAAAACCCTAAAGTATGCAATGTAAATAATACTTTTAAAAGTAATGAAAATACAAGGCGTTTTGAAAAGAGGTCTATGGTTCGGAGGTTGGTTATACAATGGGAAGGTATTAGCACCCAATGTATCTATAGTATTCTATAGGAGCCTTTTGAAATATCTGTTTATTAAAATGTTCGTTTGATTAAAAATAAATTGTTTTGGCCGAAGATGGGTATGGATGAGTTTTTGAAGATACGAAGACCTAATGTCGAAGTTTTGACTTAAAAGGTGTGAGTTTTTTTGAAGAAATTGGATATTTGGGAAAATTATCCTAAGTTTTAATGAATGGGGGTATTCGCTCGATCGTGTAAGATATATTTGATGGCATGAAGTCAACAAATTTAATTCTTTCCCTTGGAGTTGATCATAAGCAAGTAGGTCTAGTAATCGAGCAAGAATCATATATAAGTAATTAAAAATCCAAAAGAAACGAACAAGGAGAATAGTGATAAGATAAACTATAAGAAACTAAATAAACGTACAAAGAAGAATCATGAATAAAAGAAAAATGTAATTAGAGGGTTATCTAAACTAATTTTGAAATTCTACGGTTACTAAGTAAACTAAACTTAAATTCTAAAGTTTCTAACTAAACTAAACAAGATTTTAAAGTTAATAACTAAAACTAAATTAAAATTATAAAATTACTAACTTAAAATTCTAAATTTAATAAATTAAATCTAAAATAAATTAGAATTCTAAAATTACTAAGTTAGATCTAAACTAGATTAAAAATTTTAAAATTAGTAAATTAAATCTAAACTAAATAAAAATTCCAAGGTTGCTAACCTAAAACAAAAAAAAGTTCCAAAGTTACTAAACTAAATCTAAATCAAATAAAATTCTAAAAGTTTACTAAGTCAAATCTAAATGAAATAAAATCTAATTCTAAAGTTTACTAAGTCAAATCTAAATGAAATAAAATCCTAAAGTTACTAAAATAAAACTAAAAATAAAATTTCAAAGTTTACTAAGTCAAATCTAAATCAAATAAAATTCTAAAAGTTTACTACGTCAAATCTAAATGAAATAAAATCCTAATTCTAAAGTTTACTAAGTCAAATCTAAATGAAATAAAATCCTAAAGTTACTAAAATAAAACTAAAAATAAAATTCCAAAGTTTACTAAGTCAAATCTAAATAAAATAAAATCCTAAAGTTACTAAAATAAAACTAAAACAAAATAAAATTCTAAAGTTACTAAATAAAATCAAATAAGATTCTAAACATTTTAAAGTTATAAAATAAATCTAAATTAATACTAAACTAAATTAGTTATAAGATTTACAAAATAAAAATGTCTTGACAAGGTGTTGAACTCAAGTCTCTATGATTTACAACTAGATGCAACACCAGTTGAGCTACATTGTTATTTGTTTATTAATAAAGGTTTAATTAAAATATAAAGGGGAAGTGGTAATTGGATTGGGCCAAAAAAAAACCAGTGGACCGACCCGCTTGGACAAGGGAAAGGAAGAGTCTTGGAAACCCTAGGGAGGCAAAGGGGGGCGGCGGCTGCATGCTGGCTTTATTGGAAAGGGAAAAAGTCAGACTTAAATATTATTATTATTATATCCTTTCCAAATAAAATAGATTAAATAATAAAAAAATGGAACAAAAACTAAGCAATTGTATCGATCCTTTCTCCCCCCACAGTATTCAACAACATCACCTTCCTCTTTTCTCTCAACCGTAACTCATCTATTCCTTCCTCAAAATTCATTTTTTCCTTTCAAAAAAATTAATCATTTCTCCTTTCTATTTCTCAAACACACCAACAAGAACAGATTTACAATCCTTATTTCAAAAATTGTTTCAAAAATTGAAAATGAAAACAAAGATATGGACTCGGAACAGTAGAGAGGCGGACAGAGAGATGGTGTTGCGTTGTTACCAAAATTAGCTGTCTTCTTCACGGGTGCGTGCGGTTTGTGAAAACAAGGAATTTGAAGGTAGAATCTCTGCATCTGCGTCCGGATCTTGTTCGGTTCCAATTGGGGATGAAGATTGTGCGAGCGGAAATAAGTATATGTAGAGGTGTGCGGTTGTGATTCTTGCTATCAAATCGCAAGGTTAATTCTTAGTTTGCCAAGATTTTCCTCTATATGTTTTGTTTATAATTAGTTATGGAGTTTAAAAAAAATGTTTTTTTTTGTTCGTAGGAATGTTAGCAAGAAGGCATTAAAACAAAGGTTCAAACAAACAATCATACAATCATACAAGGAAGTTAAATGGCAAGAGGGTAAATGGCTGACCTTGTGATAAATATGCAACTGAAAAAAATGGGTTTATAACTGTTCCCGTCACCCAAGGAAGACCAGTAGTTGTGACTATTGTAACATGTCTTTCATTGTTATAAAAATCCTGCTTTGGACGGTCTATCCAGAGTCCACCTTCATACCGGTGTCCTGTGCTCTGAATGCAGTAGAAGTTGGTTCTTGCATTTTTCATACAAGCTCTCAACTATCTTGTCGCATATATCTCTGTTGACTCCATGTTGGTCCAAAAAATGGCCCAGAATGTTTAACAAAGTAGGCCAGGAGTTCAAGTACATACAGTGGTGGCACTTCCTCTGATTCCTGTTTTTTTGTAATGAGATTTCTGCCTGTGTTGTTAGTGTTATGTTGCAGGAAGATTGGAGGTGTGGCAGCTGCTAGCTAAACTACCAATTCTATGTGCATACTGTGTGCTGTTTTGATTCTCTAAGGTGGATGATTTTTTTTTGAGGTCTCAAAAAACCAACCTTTTTGTTCCCCTCTTGTATGTATTTTTCTACTGTCTTATTGCCAAAACATAAGTGAAATGGGGGGGAGATTTTGATAAGCTTGGATAATTTTGGTGATTTTCTTTATTGCTTTTTTGTTACAGGTTTTGGTCTTGCTAAAATGGTGTAATATTTGGCTGGTTTGGACTGACATGATGCAGGTTTTTTGAATGTATTATGGTGCAGATTTTGCAGTATGACAGTAGCAGGTTTGTGGGAAGATTTGGCAAGAGTTGAAGCAAATTTTGGATAGTTGTGTTTGGATGTGCAGCATGAAAATGACAAGAGATGAGATAAAATTGTTGTTGTAAACTGTGACCCTCCTCCAACTTTATATTTTCTTTCTTTTTAGATAAAACAAAATTAACAACAAGAAAAATAGTAATAATAATTAACCAAAAAAAAAGAGGAGATTGTTAGTGACAACTAAACTAAAAGTACAAAAAATTAAAATAAGAGACACAAAAAAATATGTTTAGTAATAATAATAATTCAATTTAAGAAATTCAATTAATATTATAACTAAATCAAAATTAAAAAGGAACTAAAATTATAATGACTAAAGAAATAAAATGTAAATAAAAGAAAATGGTATTAACTATATATTTTTTCTTTGAGATTTTCTAGATGTAAAATACAACTAAAATAAAGACGACGCTAATCACATATCTTTTGGATTTTTTCAAATAAAGTGATACAAACATATAAATTTAAATAGAATTAATAAAAGACCATATTTTTTTATATTTTGAATAAATAAATAAAAAAAATTATAAATAAATAAATAAAAATAATAACACATGTTAAGTGCGTCTTTTGCAATTTTAATGGAAAAGAAATCATGAATAAAACACAGTCGAACTCAAATTTCACCAAATTCACAAAACAACTTTTAACGTCAACAATTTTTCATGGCTTTTTAATGCATAATTTTCCCTTGATTTATAAAGAAAAGTTGTAGATGATGTCAAGGAAAATCATGTGCAAAAACAACCTCTCAAAAATGTCGAAATTTGAAGAAGTTATGAATTTTTAAAATCTGCTTTAAAAATTGATAAAAATAGGTCAAATCGCTTGTGAACACTTGCAATGTAACGATGCAGATGGGAGGTGATATCTTAGGTCAAAAATTGGGGTATGACACATCCGCGTCTGGAGAATAACAAAAACAGTCTTGGGCTTGGCTGTCCAAAGCCCAATCAGATTTTATGAACCATGCACCCATACTATACTGAATTCTAGCCCATTTAACTATTAGTTTATTTTCTTTTTGTATTTTTTTTTCTGTTATACAAAATACTATTAAACTTAAAATATACTTTTTTTATAATTAATTTGATTTAGACTTTGTGAATATTTTTTATCAATTTCTTTTTCTTTCTTTAATAAACTTTGTTTTAGATTTAATTTACATATAATAAAACACCAAAAAGAATAATAATAGAATTTAGTTTTATCCTTCTTTAATTTTTTGTTACTTACATAATTAAAAACACAAAAAGATAATGCATACGATTTTAATTTCTTTTAGTCAATTATTTCATTTTTAGAATAGGTTTTACTTTCTTCCCTTCAAGTAAATACTTAAAATTTCATTTCCATATTTTGTTGATTTTATCTCATAGATTATTGTAGCTTTAATTAATCGCTGAAAATTCGATTTGGTTGTATTGTTTTCTATTTGTATCCTTTCTATCGCATTTGATTGATCCCCATTTGTAAAAAAAATTGTACCCCCATTCCCGAATACTTTGTAATAGCGTAGAATTTCAATTCCCGCAATTTACTGTTCTCCTTATACTGTATAGTAATTAGGCGTGTATGGCAAGATTCAAAAATCAATCGCTAGATAACCTAATCAAAGAATAAAATAACTTGAAACCAACACACTTTTTCACACGCGAACCTCTAGGGTAACCTCGCTCGTTGCCTTGGAAATACAATCATGTCCATTGAATATGGGATGCTTTAGCAATGACCCTTCGATAAAAAAGATTGTAGTCCCTCGATGACCCTCGATGTTGCCTTTGATTAAAACGATCTTTTCCCTTACAAAAATTGCTAAAGCGTCTCATAAGTTGCTTTCGATGACTGTAAAAATTAACCCGCGTCTGTCTCTTCACATCCAACGATGGGGATTCTTACCAAATAAATGGTAAGATAGCACCATTAAAAGGAGGAAGAAAAGAACAATTTAAGACCTTTCGAATAGATAGATTCGCTCCTAGTTACTCGCTTGCTCACGATAAAAACGTTTTACACCTACACTTTCATTTCAAAACATTTTCCAAAAGACAAAACGTTTTGTATACGTTCTTATAGAGACGAAAACCATTGCAAAACATCTTTTCAAAACACTTTCCGAAACACGATTCACAAACACATCTTTGAACCACTTTTCAAAACAAAACTTTGTACGCGTTCTTATAGAAACGAGAACCATTACAAAGAGATTTTTCAAAATACTTTCAAAGCCCACACCACAAGCACACTGTCAAATGAAAGCAAGTGATCTAAATGAGTAACTAAGAGCCCATGGAAAACCATGGATGAAAAGGGTGCTAATACCTTCCCTTTTCATAATCTACCCCCCGAACCCGAGAAATAATCTCGAAAGGTCTTTCCTGTGCTTTTTTACCTTTCTTTTTGGATAAAAGAAAAGTCGGTGGCGACTCTTGCTATCCGCACAAATGCGATCGAAACGCAAAACAACAAGTCAGTTCTCCCACCGTATCATAGAACTGGCGACTCTGTTGGGGAAAAATAAAAAAAGTGGGGTTACCTTAGGGATGATAGATCACCTTTACTCGCTTTCATTATTTGATTTGTGTGCTTTATATTTAGTTCTTTGTATTGGGATTGCTTTGATCCTCCACCCGGATTTGGGGCACCTTTTTAGGTAAATAGCAATAGATTGTGGAGACTGTACGGCGTAGACCGATATGGTTGAGACAATGGCTATGTTAGTGTGACGCATTTTTGGGTACTGATATCCCTCGTGGTGAATCGAGGAGAATACGGGGCCGCTGAGTGGCGTCATGAAGCACTTATTAACCTTAGAACCCTAATTGAAAAAACTTGGCCATTAGGACGTAGTGAGGTAGCCGGTTTCGGTGTAAAGCTGAAAATTGGTTGATACTTGATACTACGCTCATTGAGGCTAGACTTTTGGGATATCTCGGCCACAAGAAAAGATTGTTGTGCTGAGACAATGCCTAAGAGAAGGGTTGGTGATATTGAGATCCTTTAGAACCCGATCAATATTTCTAGGACAGGTTGAGCCAACTAAAACTTCAAGAGGGTACTTACCTACAAACTCATGCAAGCCTAAAACATAGGGATCTGTTTGTTGTGTGTGTATATGTTTGCTTGTACATAAACATCATAAACATCATCAACATCATATGCATGCTCACTAACCATTTCAAGGATTTAGAAATTTATCTTTAATTTTGTTTTGTAGGATATGAATTCTCTCCGAAGAAACACCATCAGAATCAACTTTGTAAAAGCACATCCTCAACTTCAAGAGCTAGCTTCAAGAGTCCCTGGGGATTCTCCTTTTACCAAAAAGTATAGTCGACTCCTCAGTTTGGCTACATCCAACTTCCAAGAAGAGATGATGTGTGTACTATTCCAATTTTTTGATCCCGTACAACATTGTTTCACTTTCCCGGACTATCAGTTGGTACCTACACTGGAAGAGTTCTCTCTACTGTTAGGGGTGCCCGTGCTTAATCAGATACCGTTCACCGGTCTAGAAGGGATTCCAAAACCTGAAGTCATCGCCGAAGCTTTACATGTGAAGAGGGCCGACGTCATATCCAATTGGGAGGCAAGAAGTGGGGTTAAAGGTTTTTTAGCTAAGTTTCTATTGGAAAAATCTCGTGCTAGCTCTCCTCATTTATGGTTTGGTTCTGTTTCCTAATTCGGACCAATTCATAGATGTTAATGCCATCAAAGTCTTTCTCTCTCGCAATCCTATACCCACCTTGCTAGGAGACATCTTGCATTGCCTTCATACCCGTACCATGAAGAAAAGAGGTACCCTTTTGTGTTGTATACCCCTGCTCGCTAAGTGGTTCACTTCACACCTGCCTCAGTCAGCATTGAAGAACGAGCAAAGATTGACTTGGTCTTAAAGGATGATGTCTCTCTCCCACGCTGATATTTGTTGGTGCTCGAGATCCTTGGAAGATATTTCTATCATTGACCGTTGTAGGGAGTTCCCTAATGTACCTCTGCTAGGTATTAGGGTAGGTATCACCTACAACCCATGTTTAGCTCTTCGAAAGTTTGGGTATGCCCGAAGAGACGGCCCTCATGAGATGCTCGTCCAGGGTTTGGTCTTCGACTACGACAAAGAAGATCAAGGTTATTGTCAGAGGTTTGACTGTGCTTGGGGAATGGTGAACAAGGTGGACAGTAGGACTTTGGGACATAAAAACTCTATCCCTCTCGAGCCTTACCTTAAGTGGGTACGGGCTCGTGCTCAGAATCTCTTGATGCCTTACCCTTCCATCCTTCCTGTCATCATTGAGTCTGTTATTGAAGGAGACGTCCCATACACCGTTCTTCATCCTAACATGCCCACGTCTCTCGAAGATCTGCAGAAAGCTTGGGTTCAGTTAAAGGAAGAACGAGACACCTTTGAAACCCAGTATTACGCCAGTGAGAAGAAGGTTTT